TGCACTTTATACAAAAAGAGAAAAATAAGGGTGGTTATGTTACAACACAAATGAGTCCTGGGTCTCTGATTGACTTCAGGACGCTTCACCACTGAGCTTAAGCCAAGGACCGTTGTCACAGAGACTAGGGCTGGGCAATTAATTGAATTTGCAATATAATCGCAATTAAACAAAATGCAATTTTGAAATCACGTTGGCACTCAATTTTGATCGCATTACATTTAACTAGAGGAATACAGTAAATTAGTGGCTGCAGCCCTTTAGGGGGCAGTAATATGCTTGCAGTGAGTTTCCCGCCACCTAGAGAGTTGCAGCTGGCATGCAGATCCATGCATGTGAGTAGAAGTAAGCCATTTTTCACCCGGAGCTTACAATGCAGCTCTCAAGGTCACAAAAAACTGAACCTTGTTCATAAAATATCTCCAAACTGGTGGTCAGTGCAAAGGAAAATTGAAATGACATCGCAGTCACAATATTAGTGAAAAATAATCACTATTTTGTTTTCTGGCCAAGTTGTTCAGCTCTCTGCGAGACACAGACTGAGCCGGCTACGTTCAGACTCAGCTGTGGGCGTCCGTCAAGTGGTCCTGCTGTGCCAGAGATAGTATAACATAGCAGAAAGGTCAGATCTGTTTATAGTCCCTCTGCTCTTCTCATTATCAGAGATCACATGGTGGCCTGACCTCTCCTCGCCCGCTGCATGTTGTGGACACTCAGCCTGGTGTGTCCGTATCAGAAACCCAGCTGTCCGATCAGTCAGACTGTACTGAGAAAAAAAGTATTCTCCTCCTAGGAGAGAGACAGTTTAGATCATAGAACAGAGGCCCATATCAGACCACATTTTAAATTGATGATTTAAATAAGCTGTTTCACAGTAATCAGTTAGCAGGTAGAGGGATGAGGCAGGGGGACCTGCAGCAAGGGTCAAAGGTCAGGAATGGAATCCCAGATGGCGAGGCTCCCATTCTACTGCTACAGAGCTCATGTTTTTGGAAAGCTCAGTCCCTTTTGATTAACTGAACAGGACATGATCTGATCAGCGGGAGGTAAAGGTTAGAAAGGTGTTCATAAAGCTGGGGGAGAACCGGTATCTATAAAGGTAGAAAGCATGGAGGGACTGCAGCGTACCAGAGTCCAACGAGCAGGAGATAAAACTCTGTTTACACGACCTTAGAACGGCTGAGTGTCTGACTGCTTCGCTGCACCATGTATCAACGACACAAACACAAGTTTTCCAGTGTTGCACTCATTTTTTGAATTAATCCCGACTAAAGCTAAAGGGGTGTAGAGGGACCAGATATTTCCATTTCCATCACCTCCGAACTCTGTTGCTGTTTCCATACTAGCAGCTATCTGTAACTCCTGTCAGCAGATGCAGAAACATGCCTGGTGACACTTCAGCCATGAGAGAGCAGCTGATTAGCTCCTAATGATCAGATTACACAACAAGCACTCAGTCAGCTGAGCTGCAGGCTGTTTGTTCAGCCTGTGCTGCACAGTCTGCAGGCAGCCAAACATTTCTATCTGCTACCAGATGCAGTTAGATTTTCTTAGAAATAAAGTTAAAATTCATTGATACAGACTGATCCATACGAGCGGGCTGCTCAGTGGAGCAGTGGGTAGCACTTCTGCATTGCAGCAAGAAGGTTCTGGGTTTGATTCTCGGCCCGGGGTCTTTCTGCATGGAGTCTCCATGCGAGGGTTCTCCCCGGGTACTCCGGCTTCCTCCCACAGTCCAAAAACATAACTGTTAGGTTAAATGGCTTCTCTAATTTCTCCTTAAGTGTGAGTGTGTTTGTGAATGGTTGCTTGTCCTGTTCGTCTCTGTGTTGCCCTGCAATGGACTGGAGACCTGTCCAGGGTGGACTCCGCCTCTGGGATAAGCGTGACGGAAAATGGATGGAATTATGTCAATTTTGTTGAAAAAATATTTTGATTACTTGATTCTACTTTTTGCATTTGGTCAGAATAAAACCAAAATTCGAGGTATTTCTTAAATGGATGTGATGTCAGAGACGTAGACAAGGAAGTGCAGAACAAAGTGAAAGAAAAAAAACAATGCTTGTTTTTATTTGGAATGGTGTGCATCTGCATTCAGCCCCTCAGGCCAGTAGAGCAATGTTCAGCTGTAGCTTCAGCTGCAGGACTTTGGCTCTATGGGCCTGTGAGCCTTCTGCACGACTACTGGCTGAAGTTTTTTTTTTTTTCCCATTCTTTGTAAATTCATTTTCGAATAATATTTAAATATAGGTCTGGTCTCACCTTTTCTAACACATGAATACAGTTTTCTATGTGAGGTAATCCAGCTGATTGCATCCACTCATTGACTCTTCAGCAATCCCTCACACTAAGCATGCTTGTAGCGACAGTGGAGAGGAAAAAC